TGGAACATTGTTCTGATACAGTGTCATTCAGCACGAGATGTGGAACATTGTTCTGATACAGTGTCATTCAGCACGAGATGTGGAGCATTGTTGTGATACAGTGTCATTCAGCATGAGATATGAAACGTTGTTCTGATATAGTGTCATGCAATATTTGTTACTGTTGTAAATTTTCTGATATTAAGATCCTCGTAGATAAACTTACCCTGGCATTCTCCATCATCCCAGTACAGGTCTCCATCTGCTTCCCCGTCTTCACTCAAAGCCACAAGAAGATGAAAAGGATTATTTCGGCTAAACAACAAATACTTTTTAATGAATAACTGAACCTTCTCATGTGGTTATTTTATGTTATGTATCAAGAAATTCGATGAGTTTAAAATCATTCTTAAAATAAATTCTCTTAATCCATACGGTTTATCCAGTAGAAAGAAGCAACAGCCCTTGTGATGATAAAGTTAGCAACTGTAAGTAAAGTAAAGAATTGGAACTAGCGATTGGGGGAGCTTAAAACTAACTATCATTCAAACTAACGATTGGGCGAGTTTAAAACTAACTATCGTTCAAACTAACGATTGGGCGAGCTTAAAATTAACTATCATTCAAACTAACGATTGGGCGAGCTTAAAATTGTCATATAAACTAACGATTGGGCGAGTTTAAAACTAGCTATCGTACAAACTAACGATTGGGCGAGCTTAAAACTAACTGTCATACAAACAAGACAATATGTGATCAATAATGTTGTTAGCTAACAACTCGAAATTTGTTACACAATCTAGAAGATTGTTGTGAGTATTGTTTGTCCTAATCTAATCTGTCTATATCTACAACACACTATGACTTATTCTAGTCTAATCTAATTGATATCTACAACACAGTATCGTTTGTTTTATCCTAACCTATCTATATCTATAACACAATACGATTTGTTCTATCCCATCCTAACCTCTCTATATCTACAACACAATATGACTTGTTCCATCATAACCTATTCATATCTACAACAGAATATGATTTGTTCTATCCTATCATAACCTATTCATATCTACAAATAAATATGACTTGTTCTATCATAACCTATTCATATCTACAACACAATATGACTTATTCTATCATAACCTATTCATATCTACAACAGAATATGATTTGTTCTATCCTATCATAACCTATTCATATCTACAAAAGAATATGATTTGTTCTATTCTATCATAACCTATCCATATCTACAACACAATATGATTTGTTCCTACAAATCCCTATTTTGACTCCATGTCTACAGTACTTATCAATTTAGATATAAAGAGGTTAAGATAGAACAAATCTTAATGTGTTGTAGATACAGATAGGTTAGGATAGAACAAATCATATTGTGTTGTAGATATATAGAGGTTAGGATAGGATAGAACAAATCACATTGTGTTGTAGATATATAGAGGTTAGGATAGAACAAATCATATTGTGTTGTAGATATGAATAGGTTATGATAGAACAAGTCATATTCTGTTGTAGATATGAATAGGTTATGATAGAACAAATCATACTGTGTTGCAGATATAGAGAGGTTACGATAGAAAAACAAATCACATTGTGTTGTAGATATAGAGAGGTAAGGATAGGGTAGAACAAATTATATTCTTTTGTAGATATGAATAGGTTATGATAGGATAGAACAAGTCATATTCTGTTGTAGATATGAATAGGTTATGATAGAACAAATCATACTGTGTTTCAGATATAGAGAGGTTACGATAGAGAAACAAATCACATTGTGTTGTAGATATAGAGAGGTTAGGATAGGATAGAACAAATTATATTGTGTTATAGATATAGAGAGGTTAGGATAGGGTAGAACAAATCATATTGTGTTGTAGATATGCATAGGTTATGATAGAATAGAACAAATCATATTCTTTTGTAGATATGAATAGGTTATGATAGGATAGAACAAATCATATTCTGTTGTAGATATGAATAGGTTATGATAGAACAAGTCATATTCTTTTGTAGATATGAATAGGTTAGGATATGATAGAACAAATCATATTGTGTTGTAGATATGGATAGATTATAATACTAGAGAAAATGTAGACACTATTCCCAGTCTAGTTTGTTTAATTTTTTTAAGAGTTCATAGTTGTAGGTTTGAAAATATAATCTTTGCATTCAACTTATTTCTGTACTTTTGATGGTCCCCATTCCCATTTTTAAATGAACAACTTTTAATTAGGGTGTTTAAGTTATTTTTATGTTCACTTATGAATAAATAATTTTAAGTTACGTATGTGTATATGAATGCAGTGGATTGTTAAAATTTTGAACAGTTTACTGCTGCATGAGCTTTTTTTTGCACCAACCATTTTTTTTCTGAGCCAGATGGTTTTGTGTTCGAGGTTGCGTGTAAACAAGCGTTTAACAGGCTTCCAGAACAAAGGCGGATGCTCACAACAACATTGCATATATTATGTATTTATAGTTACTTTCAATGAAAAATAATCTACTTTTTAATAGGTCATGAACATTCACAGTATATAGTGTATAGTATAGTATATCTGTCTAGGTATTGGTGCAAAATATCCAGCTGATTTTTCTGTAGGTTTATGAAACAAAAATATTGTTACGACAGCGGAAGTCATGTGACGCTAGTAGCGAGAGTGAAGTTTCTCGAATTGTCGTGGAAGTCCGAGTTTGTTCGAGATGCCCTTTTCTTTAGTATATTAGCCTGGCAGAGAAAGCCAGCGCGGGAATAAAGTGTGTGTTTTGTACTCGTCGAGAGCAAACTTATCGAGATTGTGAATTGCTGTGATTTATAGCATATATTATAAAAGTTTTTAAGTTTAAAGTGACGAGAAACGTACTGATTGTGGAACTACTGTGTACTAAAGTTTGTATCGAGGAAGAATAAACTGGTTTAATCAAGAAAGGACTTGTATTGCCGAAGATCCTTGGAAAGAATTTCTACCAGAAACAAACAAATAAGCAGATACGTAACAATATGAATAATAATCATAAAATACACACTCACAATTTCAGTGAAGTACGAAATAAGTAGAATAAATCACCCGTCATAAGAGAAGAGAAATCTACTACTGTTAGAAACTC